GCCGAGGGCACCGCCGCGCCGTGGAAGTTGTTGAAGTCGGGGATGCGGGTGAAGATGCCGCCCGGCTGCGTGGGGTCGGGGTCGTACTGGGAGGTGGGGGGCGGTGGGGGGCCCACCTCGCCCCCCACCTGCCCTTTGCCGGACCCCTTCTCTTTGCAGTGCACACAGCCCATCCTGGGCACGGCCTGTGGGACAGAGGGACTGTGAGCCCTGTGCCGCCCCGGCAGGGCACACGCGTGTGCACGTGCGTGTGCACACATGGTCCCCATTAGAGGCACTGGGGTGCACGCATGAGCCCCTGTCTACCCCACCCCAGCCCCGGGAGGAGTGGGGTCCTGCCAGCCCCTGGCACAGCAAGCTGGGCGCCTGTGCTGTGACATGGGGACACCAGGGTCCCAATGGGCACTGCCACCGGCAGGGACCAGGCTGTGAGGAGGGCTGTGCTGCCCGGGGGACACTGCATCCCCGCTGGCACCCGTGGGTGCTCCCGTTCACAGCAACCCCACTCACTGCGACGGCTCCTTGGGTCACTTCAGCTGCTCCATGTCACCTCGGGGAGGAGAAGAGGCACCTGTGGACAGCGGGGGGGGGCATCAGGCGGAGGGCAAGACCCCTGCACGGGCTGCAACACTCCTGCCATGGGCTGCAACAACCCTCCAAGGGCTGAAATACCCCTCCAAGGGCAGAAACACCTCTGCCACGGGCTGAAGTACCCCTGCACAGGCTGCAATACTCCTGCATGGGCTGCAACGCCCCTGCCATGGGCTGCAACACCCCTGCCATGGGCTTAGATACCCCTTCAAGGGCTGAAAAACCCCTCCAAGGGCTGAAACACCTCTGCCGTGGGCTGCAATACCCCTGCACAGGCTGCAATACCCCTGCATGGGCCGCAGCACCCCTGCATGGGCTGCAATACCCCTGCATGAGCTAAAACACCCCTGCACGGACTGCAACACCCCTGCATGGGCTGAAACCACATCCCTGAGTGGGTTTTTCTCCCGCCATGTCCTCAACAAACCCATCACCTCCCTCCAAGGGGAGACGTGCCCCCCCAGCTGCCCCAAGGCTGGAGGGAGCCAGGCTGGGTGGAAAGGAGTCCTCGAAGTGTCCCCGTCCCCATCCCTGTCCCCGTCCCCATCCCCGTCCCCATCCCCTCCACTCGGCAGGGGAACTGGTGTCTCGGGGGAGGAAGGGCCCTGCTCGCCTCACTGCGGTTGGGGCCACGCCGTTCTCACCGGGGCCACGCTCAGCAGCGAAGGTGTCGCGGAGGAGGAGGAGGAAATCGGACCTCTTCCGCCGTGGCTGCAAGCAGACATTTCTGTCCCCAGCCCTGTCACCTCCCCTGGGTGCTGGCCAACCCCCCGCACCAGCCTGCCCAGTTTGGACTGGGCAGAGCTTTCCGGTCAAGGGCTCTGCAGCGATACGGCAGAGCTCGCCCCGTCTCCAGCCCGAGAGCAGAGGGAAGGTGCCGTGAAGCCGTGCTTCTCCTGGCGGCCATGTCCTGTCCCCTGCGCTCCAGAGAGCAGGAGGAGACAGAGGTTTGGGGGCAGATGAGACGTTTCAGGCGGGTTTCCCCCATCACGGGTCTTTGATTCACTTTCCTCTCTCTTGGTGGGGGTGGAAAGGGCCCTGCTCTCCCCCTTCCATCTTTGCTTTCGACACCAGCAGTGTGGCAAGGCTGTGGCCGTTGCAGATGGGGCAGCGTTGCCAAATCCGAGAGGGCTTGGCTGGTTGGGGTTTTGAGTTTTGCTGACAATAAGTGGCTATTTCAGCTGACAAATATCCCGAGCTCTCGCAAACCCTGTCCCCTCTGAGTGGGAATCACCCGCCCCGTTGCCGGCATCGCGCTCAGAAACTTCCCATTTTGTTGAATTTCTGTGCCGAGTGCAGGGGGGGTGCTGCCACGGCTGCCAGCAGGGATCGGGCAAGGAGCATCTTCTAGGCAAGCACAAGCCCGAAATATCGCAGCACCGTGGGGTTTAACCACTGCTCATGCCATGCCCAGCTGCCGCGCGGCAACGTTGTACCCATGCTTCCCCTTCTCTGGGCACCCACAAAACCCCCGAGCTGGTCCCTGCCACCTCCCAGCTGGGCAGGGTGGCATGAAAACCATCCCCTTGCATCGTCCTTGGGGATGGGACACAGCCGGCCCCGTGTCCGATGGCTGCACGCTGGCGTCTGGCCCCGGCTCTCCCGAAAAGGAGCTGCTTGGAGCCTGGGAGCAGATGGCAACCGAGCCCTTCCCACACCGGCTCCACCGGCACTGGTCCCAGCCGAGCTGCCAGCTCCTGCCCTGCGCTGAGACCCAGCCAACTTGTCCCCCCCGCCGCTGCCCCCACCCCGCCGGGCATGGCTGGGTGCGATGCAGCCGCATCCCCGACCGCCCGTCCATCTGGTCCCTGGCCCCCCCCAGGACATGGGGCAGTTCAGCCCCATCCCCAACTCCCAGCCGGAGCGCGATGTCCTGGTGCACACCGGTGACACCCTGCGTGTCACCCCCCGGTGCTGAGGCGTCCTTGGTCCTTGGGGATGGGACACACCATGTCCGATGGCTGCACGCTGGCGTCTGGCCCCGGCTCTCCCGAAAAGGAGCTGCTTGGAGCCTGGGAGCAGATGGCAACCGAGCCCTTCCCACACCAACTTCA